GAACAACACTAAATGTTACGAGAATATCATCCATTGCTCTGTAGCGATGGTCTAGTTCCTCGTAAAATTTGTCAAGAAAGTCTAACATAGCTCTTTGCAGCTCCTCTAGCAATGTTAGTCCAGCATATCGCATCATTTCTCCTGGTAAACGTTTTTGAAATCTCCTCATTCCTCTTCTTCCTTCAATCGAAGTGTCCACATTCTCATATTTTTTGTTACGTTGGAAATAGCTTTTCCCCATAGTTGAATACATTGGCTTTGAAGAAACATTTTTGATTTGATTTTTGTCAAATACTTTTCCAGTGATAATCTAGATTATTATTTTATTATTTACTTTTGTGACTTATTTTAGGATTTTACAACAAAAGGAAAGATAGCATAAAACACTGAAGTCACACATAGCTGGTAAGAGTGTAGATGCTGCTTCTCTTATATCGACGTTTTCTCTGTTGGTGCTGGGATTATATATATCTTCCAGTGTTTATACTAGTTCTTTAAATTATTCTGCAGTGGTTTAACAGCGTCATGATGAGCAATCCATCTTGTCTCTGAGAGTCTTTTGACGGATCATCATCATCATCATCATTACAGCCCTTCACAAGTCCACTGCTGAACATAGGCCTCCCCCTAAGAATGCCACAAAGCACGGTCCTGAGCCACCTGCATCCATCGACTTCCTGCATATCTTACCAGGTCGTCACTCCATCTAGTGGGGGGACGCCCTACACTTCGCCTGCCGGTACGAGGCTGCCACTCGAGAACCTTTCTTCCCCATCGGTTGTCGGTTCTTCGAGCTATATGGCCGGCCCATTGCCACTTCAGCTTACTAATCCGTTGGGCTATGTCGGTCACTCTAGTTCTACTGCGGATATCCTCATTTCTGAGTTTATCACGCAGAGGAACTCCGAGCATAGCCCTCTCCATAGCTCGCTGAGCGACCTTGAGCTTCCTCATCCGGCCAGCAGTGAAGGACCACGTCTCAGTTCCGTATGTCATCACTGGCAACACGCACTGGGTGTACAGTCTCGTTTTCAAGTTTTGAGGTATACCTGACGAGAAGATGTGCCGTAATTTCCCGAACGCTGCCCAACCGAGTTGAATTCGTCGATTGACCTCTCGGTCGAAGTTGGACTTACCTAGTCGGACTATTTGTCCCAGGTAAACATACTCGTCAACAACTTCGAGCTTAGTGTTCCCAACAACTACCGGCATAGGTGTGACATGGACATTAAACATGATCTTTGTTTTGTCCATGTTCATCTTAAGACCTATCCGTTGGGAAACACTATTGAGGTCATTGAGCATAGTGCTTAGGTCCTCCAGCGATTCTGCCATAAGGACTATATCGTCGGCAAATCGAAGGTGAGTGATGTACTCGCCATTGATGTTGATACCGTATCCTTTCCAGTCCAGAAGCTTGAAAACATCTTCCAATGCAGCGGTAAAGAGTTTCGGGGATATGACGTCACCCTGTCTTACACCTCTCTGCAATTGGATAGGTTTCGTACTCTGGTTCTGTACTCGGATAGCCATCGTAGCCCTACTGTACAAGCACTTCAACACTTCGATATACCGACAGTCAACTTGGCATCGCTGAAGGGACTGCAGCACCGCCCAAATTTCGACGGAATCAAAGGCTTTCTCATAGTCCACATACGCCAGACATAGTGGCAAATTGTACTCCTCGGACTTCTGTACAATTTCCCGAAGGGTATGTATGTGGTCTATGGTGCTAAAGCCTTTTCGGAAACCGGCTTGTTCGGGAGGCTGGAAGTCGTCAAGTCTGCGCGCGAGACGATTCGTAATGACTCTCGAAAACAGCACGTAGACGCGGCTCAGAAGGGAAATCGGTCTGTAGTTCTTCAAGAGAGCGTTGTCGCCTTTCTTGAAGAACAAGACCACCGCACTTCTGCTCCACGCCTCCGGTGTAATGCCACCATGGAGGACGGAATTAAAGAGCTTCTGAAGGACTTCAAGTACCGGTTTTCCACCCGCTTTCAGAAGCTCCGCTGTAATTCCATCCTCGCCTGGGGCCTTGCCGTTTTTAAGGTGCTGGAGAGCCATTCTAATCTCGCTCAGACTGACGTCCGGGATATCATCGGAATAATGTCGGATAAGACTCGCTCTTGGATCGTTACTCACACTTGCGTGCGGCTCCAACGATGACGTGTACAGCTGCCCATAGAACCTCTCAATCTCACTCAAAATCTCAGGTGCCCCGGAAACGATGCTGCCACATTCTGTCTTCAGCTTTGACAGTTGGCGCTTTCTGGCAGAAAGATCTCTGGCAAAGACTTTGGAGCCTCGGTTCCGCTCGATCGCTTCTTCAATACGAGCTGTATTGAATTTGCGTAAGTCCCGCCGCATGCATTTGGAGATCTGTCTGTTCAGTTGCCTGTATGCTGTTAAATCTGTTGAAGAATGTAGCTTCATCTCCCGTCTAACAGCCATGAGATTAAGAGTGTGATCGGAGAGTTTTTGTGTTCTTCTGCGGCGGGTCTTGCAGAACTTAGCTCCGACCGCATGGACAGTTTCCACGAGCTTGTCATTCAAATCGTCCACTTCATTGCAGTCTTCTAGGCACTGAAAGCGGTTTTGTAACTCGAGCTGAAAGGTTTCGGGACTTTGGAACAGAGCACGAGGGGGACGGAGCGTTGACTTCATTAGACGAGACCTCTCCAACTTAACGTTTAGGTTCAGTGTGCCTCTAACCATTCGGTGATCGCTGCCGGTTTTCACCCTCGCGATCACTGAGACATCACTGAACAGTTGTCGTCTGGTCGTCATAATGAAGTCAATCTCATTTTTTGTCGAACCGTCGGGGCTCGACCAGGTCCACTTCCTGTGGGGCCGCTTCTGGAAGAAAGAGTTCATCATAAAGAGTCCCACTTTCTCCATGAAGTCGGCCAGCTGCTGGCCCCTTGGGTTCCGTTGCCCTATTCCAAATTTCCCTACTTTCAGCTCACCGTACTCTCTTGTGCCTAGTTTTGCATTGAAGTCTCCCATTAACACCGTATATTGGGTTTTGGAGGAATGCATGGCTCTAGAGATATCCTCATACATTTCCTCCACCTCCTGATCGGGGTGTGCCGAGGTTGGTGCGTAAACCTGTATGACCTTCAGCGAATACCGTTTGGTGATTCTGAGTATAAGGTACGCAACCCTCGTCGACACACTCTCAATCTTTACAACGTTGTTAACGAGAGACTTGTGGACGATAAATCCGACACCTCCTTGGGACAGATGGTCGCCCTCCCGGTGATAGAGCAAGTTGCCGGATTCGAGGATTACCGTGTCCTCCCCCTCTCTTCGGACTTCGGATAATCCTATAATATGCCAGCGTAACTTGTCTATCTCTTCTTCCAGCTCCACAATCTTCTCGTCAGTCCTCAGGGTGCGTGCGTTGTATGTTGCCAGGTCGAGTTGTCGTAGGTAGCAACCGAACCTCCACCGGAGATTCTTAGCACCCCCTGCCCCGCCGTTACCATGGTCGCCACCGTAGCCAGGAATAGCGGGGCCGCCGGGGACTGGGGGCCGTTTATTATTGTCATTGCTCATGGGGGGTATATTGCCATAGTTGCCACGCTTGGCGAGCGGGTTGGCAACCGCAGTTTTTTATTGTTATTTTGGCTATTATCAGGAAGATGCTGCTGCCCATCTCCTGCCTGTTTCCCTTTGTCGCCTTTTACGACACCCACGGGAAGATATGGGGTAGTGGATATTCTTAACCGCCACTACATCCTTGACGGATACGCCTACACTTTTCATTAAAGATGAAAAGAATCTGTAAACTCTTTCTACTGTTCCGATAAAAAGTTAAACTTGAATTAACGCTTCCTAAGTGAGTGTACTCCACATAGATTTAGAATGATTAGCACAAGGAGTATTCTATGTGGTAGAGCCATGCTGCAGCTATATTAGTAGTATAGTACAAGTAGTAAGTAAGTATAGTACAAATGGGTCGGCTCGACCGGGGAAGGACCATGCACACACAGAAATCCAGCGTAAAATAGCATCTCAACACTGATGTATTTCCCACAGCAACCACTTACCATCAGGTTGACTGTGCTCGATTGTCACATATAAAATAAAAACAAAATATCCATTTATTTGACATCTTCAAATTTTAAAATAGAGTTGTCATCTATAGCGTAAAATGCACCCCATAGTTTTTAGGGAGAGAACATTCGTGTTTTAATGGCTTTTATTTCGAATTACTTAATAATATGCTTAATTGAAATACAATATGGAATATACCAACTATGATTAGCGATAAGAAATGTAAGATTATGGTTTTAGCATACGTCTAAAATATTACTTTAAGTCGATGATATCAATGTTGGAAGGAGATAAAAGACAAAACTCGGTGCCTATCTTTCTAAAAAAATGAGGAACGGTAACAATGTTCCAAGCGCTCACTCCCTACGAGCTTGAGATACGAATTGACATGTCGCCGTATCTATACATATTATAAGTACTCGGCTAAAACTTGGCCTCCACCAATGAATGCCGCAAAGCACGGTCTAGAGCCACTTGCATTCATCTACTTCTTACAGGGAATATAAAAAACAAGTTTGTTTTTTTGTTTCCGTGACTTCTTACGTCTCTAAATAGGTCGTCACTTGTTACTCCATCTAGTGTCGGACCGGGGGAGATACTCAATACTTATTATGATTATACGGTATCGGTATGAGGTTGCCACTTATCAAGTTATTAACCTTTATTGCCCATCGGTTGTCAATTCTTTGAGCTATTGTTATTATTATGGATTACCATGTAAAGCATTATAAAATAAATATTTATATGATATTTTTGGTGCGTGTTTTTCAGGAAGCGATACGATATCACCACATGACGTTTTGACCTGTATTGGTACAAAAAATTAAAATATTACATTGTCTTTTATCGGTACACAAAATATCGATACTCTTCGACATCACTAAGGACTAGTGTCAACTGTCAACATATAATTTTGTAAACATTAAGCATAACCTAGAAAAATGGTTTTAATTAAAAATTTGTTAAATTATCGCTCTAACTTAAGAAAACATACATCGAATTATGCTTGTATTAAGTGTGTCCGGGCGAAAAGCTCGGCGGAAGCAAAGGAAAAAACATATTCACATACAATTCTGTTTCCCAAAACAAAATTTCCGGCCCGCGTTAGTAATTCTATTAAGGAAGAGATTCAAAGGGTAAAGTTATTTAATGTATGAATTATTTTGTCTTAAAAAGGGTCCCTGTATTGTAATATTCTTGTTAGCCAGCATCAATTCTTTAAGCATATACCAGTTATGTAAAACACTGCATATATTATTATAATATTTAACAGGTCGCGCAGTTCTCAGAACTTTATGCCTGGCAGAGACAGAATAAAACAGGGCCAGAATTTGTTTTGCATGATGGTCCTCCATATGCAAATGGAGATTTACACATGGGACATGCAGTAAATAAGGTATTATTCTTACAGACATGCACATTACATCTGTAAGGCATAATATGAAATATTTCTGATTATGCTAGATTACAAATAACTATCCCTATAATGTTGCTAATTCATATGGCATGCTAAGGCATAACACATAAAACTTTTTAATGCTTACTATTATATTATATACTTTTTATTACTTTTATTTTGGAACTCAATATTTAAAAAAAAAAATTTAAAACTTCTAATTCTACCTCACTCCTCCCTCCGTCCTCCTCTTAAACTCTTTACAAAGGTGTTTGACAATAAAACCCAACCCTTTTTGGTCATTCCTCTAAAGCATTAGTGTTGACACACAAAAAACTTAATTATCTTCACCTTCCTATATCTAGTAAAAGTAAAAGTTAAAAAATGTGATTGAAAGCTGGTAAGGTTCTTACATTTTATGTGTAATACTAATAATGTAGCTGAACATTATGAATGTTATGTAAAGAGTAGGGCTCTTTTTTAATTTAATAGAATACAATATTGGATTGAATTTTATAAATAAAAGACATAATATCCTTAAGCAAATACAATTTTTAACATGATAAAATCAGTAAAAATTTCTTATATGTAATGAATACAATTTTTGAATAAAATAAAATTTTCTTTGTAAGCAATCCCTGAATTTGTATGAGTATATATAATCTTTCAGATTATAAAAGACATAAACAACAGAAGTCAAGTTTTGCAAGGAAACAAAGTTCATTATGTACCAGGATGGGATTGCCATGGGCTACCTATAGAATTGAAAGCTTTACAAAAAGCAAAGAAGACTACAAAGGGTAACATTCCTTCAGATTCAGTGAATACTAGAGAAATTGCAAGAGCTTTTGCTTTGGAAACTGTGCAGAAACAAAAATCTGCCTTCCAAAGTTGGGGTATAATGGCAGATTGGGAGAAGAATTGCTATTTGACATTGGATAAACATTATGTTCAGAACCAACTAAGGCAGTTCTATAAGATGTATAAATATGGATTGGTATTTCGTGCTTTAAAACCAGTGTATTGGTCACCATCATCAAAGTGAGTTTTGTAAGATTTACTAGATATGAATAGACTATATAATATAAATTTTGAAATGATTTCATATGTTTACGTGAATACTACAGATTTAAATGAAAGTAATTTATACAGATTTTATCTTGTGTATATTAACTTATTTTTTAATTCCCGATGTTATGAGTACTTAGGTATTTGACGTCCCAATGTCATAGTTAACCATGGCTTCCTTGTTTAAAATTATTTCATTGATTGTGTGAATGTGGTCTTTTAAAAGAACACATAGCTCATGTAATGAATCTATGCTCTGGGAAGCCTGCAGTCTGAACACGTACAGTCACATCGTCAGTCATACTTTTGTCACTACATTAGATTTGATAGACCACAAATACTCACTAAAAACACCAATTCCTTCCAAGGATGATTAGCGAAGCTATGGAAATCAAATAACATCCCAATTTCAATAGAAAAGATAGCTGGGTGGTACCATCTGCTTGGGATCCTATAATTAATAAAATTAAATCCATACCCTAGCATGCAACTGCAAGACTTTAAGATACTCTAAGCTCATTCTGCATAGATCAGACTAAAAATTAATAATTTTGTACTGAAGGTAGCCATGGTTAACCACGACAATGGGATGTTGAACACCTTAGTGCCACCATTTAATTTCATTTAAATAAATTATGAAATGTACTCCTTGTTTCTTATTAAAAAAATGGCAATAATGAATGTCATTTTGCTTTACTTGTGTGAGGATCAGAGTTTAAATCATAGATTATTCTTATCTGTGCGTGTGGTTAAATTAAACCAACAGAAATGCACTGATTTTTTTCTAGTACATAAAGAAGACTGGTGCATATTAGTCAAAATAAAAATGCCAGTGCTGTTCTTAAACCATGTGATTTATTGTGCGGCTTGAAAAACACCCTTTTAGTGAGCAAAGAGGTTATCTATTTCATATAAAAGGGTTTTTCAATAGGGATGCTCGAAATTTGACAGCGGATATAGTGGCCATCTTTGTAAAGCTGTAACTGTCAAATTTAACAAAAATACTTATTTAATCTTGATATTTCGCATGGAACACTACACACTTCAACAATATGTTGAAATTGTTAAAATTTACTATCAAAATCAGTGTTCTGTTAGTCTAATTTTCCGTGCTAGTTGCGCCCAATTTATGGCATATATGGCCGTCCTGCAGAGTCCACAATCCATCGTTTGATGAATAAATTTGAAACAACCGGGTCGTTGATCGTTGGAGAATATTGTTGTTCAGGGACAGTGTGTGAGAAAACACATGAAATATCTGGGGAGACATTCGTTTCCGTGTTATACGCAAAAGCTGGGTCTTTCTGCGCCATCAACTTGGCGGATTTTGCAGTGAGACTTGGGATTTCATCGACAAAAAGTTCAATGAACCTCGACAAAAATTCAATAAACCACAGACAGCACCGTGTATTCGCTGATTGGGCTTAAGAGCATTTGGCTTCATTCGATAAAAGATCATCTTCGGTGATGAGACTCGTTTCTCTTTCTTTCGGTAGAGTGGCTTTGTTAAAAAACAAAATTCAGATTTGGAGCGACGAAATTCAAACAGGATATTCATCAGGTGCCTCTATAGTTCGAAAAAGTCACTGTTTGGTGTGGAATTTGGTCCGGCACAGTGTTGCCAAGTCTAGACCGTTCCAATTGGCCAAAAATGAATATAAAAGTAGCCTAAATTCGTTTAATTTTTTTTTCTGTAATCTAGCCTAATATTGCCTTCTGAATTGTCAGTTAGCCTATAAAGGCTATTTTTAAACGTAGATCCCTTATTTATAATTTGAAGCACTTTATGGTAAACGTGAAAGGAAGGTCAACATAAAGTACTTATATGTATTTTAACAGTTTATCATTATTAATATTTCAGAAATTGAAACGAAATATTTTATTTACAATTAAAGAGATTAACGATATTAGTTTCATGACTTAATAAGGGAGAAAATTATATAGCCGAAAAGCGCCCCTGTTTTTTTCGAGGTAGCCTAAATGGCGACCAGTCGCCAATCGCAAATTTTGATCGCCCCGACACCCTTCGAGATAGCCTAAAAGGCGAAAAGTCGCCTAACTTGGCACCACTGGTCCGGCGGTATCATCGGCCCTTATTTCTTCGAAGATGCGCAAGGAGCCGCGCTCGCTGTCCTTAGGATAGATGGTATGGACCTCACAAACATGTGGTTCCAACAGGATGGCGCCACTTGCCATACTGCTTGGAAAACATTGAATTTATTCGATGATAACTTTGTCATCTCGCGTGGTGGGGACATCAACTAGCCACCGAGATCGTGTGACTTAACATCGCTCAACTATTGTCTGTGGGCTACCTGAAATCTCTGGTCTATGCAGACAAACCACAGACAATTGCCACCCTAAATGCCAAAATCACTCACGTTGTTCATGAAATTGAGTCCCATTTATGTGAAGATGTCTTCCAAAATTAGTCCATCAGGATACACCACCTACAGCAGCATACACAATGTCATCCAATATTCTTTAAAATAAAATAAAAATTGTGGCAATATCAAGGTTGTTATATTTCATTTCAAAGTTCGAGCACTCCAAATGAAAAATCCTGTACAGTCTAAAGGTTACCCATATTTTTCATACATTTCTGACATTGCTTCGTTATGAAAAAAAATTAAAATAAGATTTTCAATAATCACATACAAAAGTTATCATAAAAACAATAAGAAATGACAAAAAAGTGACGCCAAAACCAAGTCAAACCCATGATTAACTTTTTTTTGTATTTTTTTTTATAGAATAAGGGTGCAAACGAACACACAGTCCATCTGATGGTAAGTGGTTGCTGTGGCCCATAGACATCTACATTTATCTTCGTTTGCGAATTAAAATGCAGATGCGTTGTCACCCGTGAGGACTAAGATGGAATGCCTCTTTTCCAGTAAAAAGGGTCACTGGTTCTCTACATTCACCATACGAAACACAGCAGCATTAAGCTGGTATTTTACGCAGGTATTCTGTGAGAGCGTGGTCCTTCCTCGGTCGAGCCGGCCCATTCGTGCTACAACTATACTATTAATATAGTTGCAGCATGGCTCTGCCACGTCTAAAAACTTATTGTAAGAACACGCACTTACGTGAAACGCATGCCTCTATAATAATTTGCAACCATCACTATGATGTTTGGTTTATGTGTGCGACCAGTTGAAGACTTACGAACGAACCTCCGCGAAAATGTGACGATATTGCAAGTTCACGACTTAATATCGTCCTCGGAGCAGTCGTACTGGGCGGTCGGGGCCATATCTTGATTGCTCGTGACCCAGTAAGGACCCGTTTATAGTTGCTGGTATATAAAAAAACAATAAAAAGATTGTACTATTTTCAGAACAGCTTTAGCAGAGGCGGAGCTCGAATATGACCAACAGTTTAAAAGTAAAGAAGTGTATGTTACGTTCCAGTTGGCAACAGTGCCTAAAGTTGTAAAACATATTATCTCTGGGTACGTATTATACATAGATAATAATAGAAATTAAGGTGTAACTCTGGTGGGAATCATTTAGCGATAGGAATCACTCTACAACTTTGTTACGTTGATGTTTTCTCATTATTATAATATTTCCAGTCAAAAATAAGAATTCAGTATACAAGAGACATTACCCTTTTTCCCTTTAATAATAAATAAACCAAATGCCAACAAAACAAAGAAACTTAAAAACGAAAACGAAAGTTACATAATCGTACTTCATCGGTCATTAATCTGTCTTCACTAATTTTTGTGAGGGCTTTTATGTGCCTTGAAGGATGTCTTGTTGTTCCAAAAGCGGATTTTGTAATATATTTCTCATCCATACAAATTAGATAAGATATAAGATTCGTGGTAGCCCAGGGGCTAATTGCTCGTTGGAAATTTCTTAGTACGCAAGCAACCAGAGTTCAATCTCGGACGGCACCAATGAAATTGTTAATTGCAATTTTAAATGTTGATTTACCGCTTGAACAGTGGTGATGGAAAACATAAAGTGTAGAAATCTGCCTGTGCGTAGGCATAATTACTTTACAATCCTCTCAGTAATGAAAGAAGAAGACTTGCCTTTTCATTTCTGGATGGGTTCAAAGGCAGGAAAGCTCCACCAGATGGCCTTACTTATTTGTTCTCAAAATGTTTTTAATCTAAGACACATTTTCCCACGATGTCACAATATGTTCCTTCAGAGAATTGTAGTGTGGCCCCCACGACGTATTATATATTAGAATTAAGCATGTCATAAGTAGCAGTACAATTAAAGTTATAGAAGTATCAACACATCTCTTTTCATTGACACGTTCAATTGTATGGCTCGAATTGTCGACGACCGAGTCCTTTCCGATCATTGTCGCTGCGAAAAGATGTTGCATCTCTTTGCATTTTCTTTCGCATTTACCACGGGGAGTGCTCTGAGGAATTGTTCGGATTAATCACAGCCGCCAAATTTCACGAACGCACATCGCGACAGAACTCCCGATACCATCCACACCATCTGGATGATTGGCAGTCCACCACTGTGCGATTTAGAAGATGTTTTCTTCCTCGCACAACTTCCTTGTGGAATAGTTTACCACCAGCGATTTTTCCGGACCGATACGACTTAGGGACCTTCAAGAAAAGAGCCTACTCTTTTTTAAAAGGCCGGCAACGCATCTGCAATGCCCCTGGTTCCCCTGGTGTTGCGGTTGTTCATGGGCGGCGGTAGTCACTTACCATCAGGTGAGCCGCATGCTCGTTTTCCCCATCTCCTATAAAAAAAAAACATTTCCACTATTACAGAACGAAGAACGAGAACTTAGTTAAAGGAAACTTAGAAGATTGCAATTAACAATTTCAATACCCCATAGGATTGAACTCGGGCTACCCGCGTTACCTACCACGGTCCTATCATTTAAATTGATTGAACTTATAGGCAGTTTCGACTATATTTCAGTCTCTTTTTTTGTAAAGCGTATATTAACGTTTTTTTTTCAGTAAAACTATTTCGGCCATAGTTTGGACGACTACACCATGGACTCTTGTTGCTAATAAGGCAATTTGTTATAGTCCTGCTATGAAATATAGCATAGTCTCTTTGATTAATAAACCAGGAGAAATGTTCCTAGTGGCCAGTGCACAAATTGATTCCTTGGAGAAGTTGCTTGGCGTGGAGTTTGCCCGACTAGCTGAGTTTGATGGTAATTATATTTTTTTATTCCATACATGCATCCATTACATCCTATAAAAGTCCACTGCTTAATATAGGCGTCCCCCATAGATTGTAGTGTTTTGCTACAGTTGCAATGTTTAGCAGGCGAGTCGGTAATCGGAGTATTTTAAATGAGTTCTTGTCAGATAGATGCTGCTTCCCATCTCCTGTTTTAGTTTCCCTCTGCCATCTCTTCGGAACAATATGGGTTATATCTTTATGATGGTCAAAGAAAGAAATTGGGCATAATCCTCAAATATAAGTAAATTGTTTCGTACGCGTTAAACGACAAGAGGAGTAGGAAACGAAAATAGATACTTCTAGATAGTTCTTATGGCTTCCAGTAGATGGCGGTTTTACTAAAATCATAATCTGTGGCATCTTATATATCTGGTTTAAAATTTAAACCAGATATATAAGATGCCACAGACTTCATAATAAAGTCTGAAGTGAAGTTAGAATCGAAAACTACATATAAAAATTTGGCTTACACTAAATGAATACTGGGCACTTCACTATCTCTACTATTACTTTTACTTAATCCTGATATTCTGTCTTACTTGTGATTTTAGGCAGTGAACTAATTGGGACCACATACAAGTGCAAATTTACATCAGGAACCCTTCCGTTTCTTGAAGCAGATCATGTTACAGAGGGCAAAGGGACTGGTTTGGTTCATACTGCGCCTGCGCATGGTCCCGAAGATTTTTTGGTTGCTTTAAAGAACAATATGACAGTGGTAATTTATATTTAAATCATAGGTTAAGAAAAAATCTGGCTGATATTTTTTTGCGACACATTTTTATAAGTAACGTGATAATCGAGCGCAATCATTTATTAATTAATTAATTCATTTATTCATTCATCAATTCGTTAATGCTGTAGCTTATCAAAAAATTATTTATTATTAGCTAGTGCTTGACCACAATCCCACCTGGTGGTAAGTGGTGATGCAGCCCTGGATTGGTAAATCGTACTGTCTTAGCGTAACAAAAGCCTATTCACTCTTCCTTCCTTGATGAATAAGAGAGAGAAAAAGATGTAGATGTCTATGTGTCACAGCAACCATTTAACATCAGTAGGACTGTGTGCTCGTTTGTCACCCTATTCTTTAAAAAAATGACAGGCTTGAGCCCGTATAGGGACGTATATAAACTAATTTTTTTTACGTTCGCCGTGAGTAAAACTGTCGATTACATACAATTTCCAAACACAAGTATATAATTACTTGATCCAAAGTCGCGTTCGGCTTTTGCAGAGGTCCCTAATACTAGCAGATGTAGGTCGCTTATTTTATAGTCGCTTTGTGGACTAGTGATCACTATCGCGTCCTGAAATAACTATTTTTATATATTCAATGACAGAAATGGTAGAACATTTTAGGCCAATCCGTTTCTTTGTTTATTTTGAGGCGAAAATGCGTTAAGAATCGCGATCAGCAATATGTCCAAAGGAGAAAAGGCGTTATGCCTGTTGACATAAGGTTGAGTCGCTTGAATTCATTTTACGCTCGTACATAATGTTCTCATGAGAAATTAAGCCTTATTGTTTTGACATAAAGACTGATTTTCCATAAATCGATGTAAATGTTGTAGGGGTACTGATTTTCGGTAATATTCTTTTCTCTCGTAAACGTGATGCAACATGTAACTGAGTGTCGTAATTTTATTTTTGTACAGGAATGCAACGTAGACGAATCTGGACGCTATGTAAACTTGGGTAATAATTTTGATGGTCTCTCAGTCCTCGGTGATGGTCAAGATGCGGTCATAAACGCTCTTGGCGATTCCGTCATCCACCAGGGTGTTTACATCCATTCATATCCTCTCGACTGGAGGACCAAGAAACCGGTCATCATCAGGGCTAGTCAGCAGTGGTTTATTGATACGGCGGCGTTGAAGAACAAAGCGTTGGTAAGCCAGTTTTGCAATTAAGTAGTCTTTTTGTGGTTTCAAAAATATCACGAGGATAGTAGCCCGAAGTCTTCGAGTTATTTTTATACTTATAATCGTTCACTGCACATAAAAAAAGTGACTGTGTTGCTGGGCTAGTGGTTGTAAGTGCGACTAATGATCATGTTTTTCCCGGTTCAAATCCCGGATCAGGCCAAATCAGTTATTGGCTTTTTCAGTTAAGAAATTGTCAGTAACAGCCCGGAATTAAAAATTGGCGGTGTATCACCTCCGGGACTCGGAAAGCATGTAATGTAATGTCGGATTTCCGTCCCATCGGGCTATGAGAGTGAGGGAATAAAGAGTGCACCTGTGCTTTTGTTTTATTTGAGAGGGGGCAAACGAACATGCGGCTCACCTGTTGATAAGTGACTACCGCTGCCCATGAACAACTGCAACACCAGGGGAGTTGCAGATGCGTTGCCGGCCTTTTAAAAAAGAGTAGGCTCTTTTCTTGAAGGTCCCTAAGTCGTATCGTTTCGGAAAAATCGCTGGTGGGTGATTCCAGAGGGAAGTTGTGCGAGGAAGAAAACTTCTTGTGGTGTGGATGGTATCTCGAGTTTTGTCACGATGTGCGATGGTGAAATTGGGCGGCTGGAATTAGTCCGAACAATTCCTCTGTACACTTCCCATGGTAGATACGATAGAATACGCAAAGAGATACAACATCATACTTACGCACAAACTCGTGCATTATAATCCTAACCTACGAAGACATTACTTTCAGTTGCCTCTGGCTGTCGAGAAAGAAATTTGGTCTGAAGTACCTAGTCAGGTCATAAGTATTGTCACATAGTAAAAACTTTTCTTTTAGAATGCTGGCCACAAAAAAGTTTATTGAATTCGAATTTCGAACTGTTCATGAAAATAAAACTGTATACTTTTTAGAATTTTACTCATTTTTAAATATGGAGTGGACGCTTAAAAAAGACCGTGTTGCAGTTATTGCGTTGCATCTTTGCGGTTACGCGCCAATTCAAATTTTTGACATACTGAAAAATTTGAATATAACCAAAAGATTGGTTTATCGTACCATCAAACGATACAATGAAGACTAGTGTAGATGACAGATCAAGAAATGGTCGCCCTCGGTCTGTTAGGACTCCAGCAGTGATATAAGCTGTGAAGGCGCAAGCACGTTCGTGCTGCGATAGACGACTGGCCGCGCAGATTGAAGGCCTGTATTCAAAATCACAGAGGTCATTTTGAATAAACTTTAGTGTCATAAGAATCTATGTTTGTTAAGTTCATTTTGGTATATAAATGGTTACATAATGAATAAACTTGTTTCAATTATTTTATATTAAACTTGTGACAGAATTTATGACCTGACTAAGGTATATTACAGTTTTATGGAAAGAAACCAATATATTGTTCGATATAATGTCATGGGTATTATTGTTTTCGGTGACTCCTTGAATGTATTTTTCACCAGGAAGCTTTAGACAAAGTGGTGTTACTACCACCATCAAGCGCCGAACAGTCCCGTCAGGGTTTCAGGGCCCAGTTGGAGAAGCGGCCATATTGGTGTATCTCGAGGCAGAGGGCTTGGGGCGTGCCTATTCCTGTTTTATATACAGGCGATGAAGTTATTGTTGATGAGTAAGTAGTAATTGATATTGTATTTCGAACTATTGTAATTTTTGGTTATTGCTTGTGGTTAGGTTTCGTAAATATAATAAACTACCGATACCCCTGCTTCGCACGGGTGATTTCTGGATATCGACAATAGCGCCACCTACCCGGTCCAATTGTAAATCCAAACCATTCTCGAACCAACTTCATCGTTTAGGAGTATATATATATATATATATATATATATATATATATATATATGCATGCATTATACATATAAACCTTCCTCTTGAAGCATTCTGTCTATTGATGAAAACAGCAAAATTCGTTGCGGAATTTAAAAGATCAAACGTACAGACGGCGGGAAGTGACTTTGTTTTATACTGTATAGAGACTAAAATTTCTCTGCGCATGTGCTTGTTATAAATTATTCTCAAAAGTATATAAATAAAATAAATATTTTTTTTGTAACGTAAATAAAGCAAGTAATGTAAGTAAATCACCCAATGCAATTAGAAGAAAATAGATGGCAACACATGAATTGCATTGAATATGCAAACCAACAACTAGACCAACTTATTTAGTTGATTATTAATATTTTTTTATGTTTACGCAAACACTACGTCATGGGGGTGAGGGGGGAGGATCATAGGTGCTGTAAAGTATTCTAAACATCGAGAATATAAAATAAATTAATATACGCAATTAAATCCGTAAAAACTAGTTTTATTTAATTACTTCTGACTTTCCAAACGTAGACTGATGCTTCAGGTTGTTTACTGTTTTTTATAGGATACTAGCCAACTGAGTAAGTCAACACAACGACTTTTAAGCCCGTATCAATAAACGTTATTCAGCTCAAGTACACGTACTTGAGTACAATCTCGAGGTTATGATCTTATTAATAAACATATCTTAAGATTCGGTTTAGGTTTACGATATCAGCTGAGTGCCACACAGATTTATAATCATCGACTCTCAAGTGCAAGTCACAGAACAGCATTCCTAAGTACAGTGTTTTGAGATACTGTTTTTATGTGTTTATCAATTAGTAACGATCTTGAGATGCTGATATCGTAATGATTATCGTATCAAATAGTTTACTCACTTGAGTTCGTTGTTGAGTAACGTTTATTAATACGGGCCTTAGAAACTAAAAATTAAGCTTTAACTATCACAGTGTAGCGCGTAGTGTATATTCCCTGCGCCAAATCGACTCGTGGGTGCCGTAAGAGGCGACCGAGGGAAATTAAAACAGTAAATGGCCAGCAGCATCTTCCTGATGACAACTCAAAGTAATAAAAAACTGCGGTTGCCAACCCGCCTGCCAAGCGTGGCAACTACAGCAAAGTTCTCCCGATTATACAATCTATGGGACAGGCCTATGTTCAACTGTGGACTTTTATAGGCTGTAATGTATGGATGGATGGTATTGTTGCGCGCCACTACGTCGACGTCACTAGTTACCACTAGCGCCCTCTAGTATCGAGTAGCAGAACTAGGATAGTCAAGAACATTCTAGAAATTTCCATGGAAAAACTTTCTAGAACTATCGACAACTAGTCAATCAGGACCGATTTATACTCGAACATTCTAGAAGTTTCTATAGTAGAAGGTTCTGGAAACTATGTGAGGCCCTATATAAAGCTGGTATAGACCGCAAGCGAGTCAGTAGTGAATTGGTGATACAAGCGAATATTTTGAAGCGATACAACTGCGAACTAAAGTGATCAGTAGTACAATTGTGTATTATTATTAGTGTGGTTTTAAGTTGTAATTAGTGTTCTGTAATTAAGATGTCAATTTTGGTAATTCAATCGGCAGTTTTTAATTGTCTCGAACGCGAAGCTCGTAACGGTATTATCACAGTAATGAATTTTATACATATTGTAATAGACTTGTTTCTTAAAATGACCTCTTAAAAAGTAGTATATGGACAGTATAATAATTACTTTCAGTTTTTTTTATAATTATAGACGATTTTAAAATTTGGCCGTTATTTTAGAGCCGTCATTGAAAACCTTTGCAACCTGATCGAGAAACATGATACCAATATCTGGTGGACGTGTGACGTTAAAGACTTGATATCTGATGACGTGATGAAGAAGTACAATATCAAAGAAGTTAAGAAAGGAAATGTAAGTATTTTTATCGATTTTTTTAAAATATTAAATAAGTGATAGGCGAGTTAACAGTCCACCTGATGGAAAGCAACTGTTCCAGTCAATGGACACGTGTAACCAATTCAAACAAAGTACATTGGTACAAGTACATCGGGTGGCATTACCACCTTTTGTAGTGGATGTAATTGGTTCAAGGTCGGTACAATCGAATTTAAATTTTAGAGATAAGAAATTAGAATGTACAATGCTCTTGAAACTTGGGATTCTAGGTATTGGATTTTATAAGGAGGCCTTATAAGGCATATAAAATTACAAGTGTATATGAGCACGCAATAGCCGTACTGCAAGCTAGAGTCGTAGTCTAGTAGTTTTTCAGTTATGAAGAGGGGGGCGGGGGTCGAAAGTAATTGGAAATGGTTAGTGTAAATTTGCGCATTGCCAGTGCGTTGCCCTTTTCTACCAACTTCAAAAGGAGACGATACTCAATTCGCCTGTATTTTCTTATTTTTTAAACTTTTTTCTGTTTTTTTTTTTTTATATAGAATACCTGATGGTAAGTGGCTGCTGTGGCCCATAGATATCTACATCTATCTTTGTTTGCGAATTAAAATGCAGATGCGTTGGCAACCTTGAGGACTAAGATGAAATACCTTGTTTCCAGTAAAAAGGGTCTCCGGTTCTCTACACTCACCATACGAAACACAACAGCATTAAGCTTCTATTTTATGCTGGTGTTCTGTGAGAGTGTGGTCCTTACCCGGTCGAGCCGACCCATTCGTACTACAACTATACTATTAATATAGCTGCAGCATGGCTCTACCACGTATGATGGGCCAACCGATTTCGATGATTCTTTTCTTATTCGAAAGCTGGTGCTTCTCATGTGGTCCCATATAAATTTCATTAGGGTCTAACCCATAGTTTTTGAGTTATTCTTAATAATTTATATTGAAGTCGGTTGAACAAATTTTTTAATTTTAAATTATGTTTATACACTGTCGTGTGGGTAGAAAATGAAGAATATTATTAAAAATTTCGTTTCAATGAAACTAATAGTTTCTCATAAAGGTCCGATCTTAAATTTTAACACCTAATTCATTTTATAGGTAGTATTTATAATACAGACTATAAGTTAGGTATTAAAAACATTTTCTGTACAGGATATAATGGACATCTGGCTGGATTCGGGCCTCTCATGGCAGACGTTGGAGGGAAAGCGAGCTCGTCTCTATTCTGAGGGAGTGGACCAGCTTACGGGCTGGTTCCAAGCATCTCTTTTAACTTCCCTCGCTTTGACAGGGGAAGCACCTTACGAGTAAGTAGTTGTATTTGGATTTCAAGTTAATAGTTTGTAGTGACACACTTTGAAATTGCGTCACCGAATTCGTTAATTCATTCATTGCAGTGATTGCCTCGCAGTGAGATATTTTATATTATATACTTACTTACTTACTATATTAGTTTGTCTAAAAAGTGATAAGATATTTTAAAATGATTGGCCAGTTAACTGCCGCGTTCTGATCGTATTACATTTACAGGCTACGAGGCATTCTACCTTAGTCGTGGAAAGTGACAAACTATCTCTAGCCTGAAGTTGGATGCAAATGGTCTACAGTAACCATTTACCATTAAAAAGCTGCGTATCGATTACGCGCTCCTGGCGCGCACGCCATAATGACCGCACCTACCAGTGAGTTCCGCGGAACTCGTTCCAAATGTTCCAAGTGTATCATCTAAACCGCAGCTGTTCCAGTATTTGACCGTTCAACATGAATGTCGGTCGTGTACGAGCAGTTGCCGTTTTCATAGTTCCATGTATCTTCTCTGACCGCTTTATTATGATGAAAACTACTTTTGCTATTCCACAGCAGTTATTTTGTACCATATAACTTTATCTGGTTATCCATAGCTCGGGACGCAACGAACACACGAATTATGAAAATAATTTCTGTTTTTTAACCAAAATTCGATAGTATGCTATTACCGAATATCGTGAGATAAAAAAATCGTGAAGTCTAAACTGTACTGAAAGAGCATTACCGATTGTTTCATCCATAATCTTTTGAAACGAGAGAAACCCTAGATATAGGACGATTATAAACTGTTACCAAACATTTTACTATTTCTTATAAAAGTTTACCGATTATGTTGTGTTTTTCATCATCATCATTACATCATTACAGACCTTCACAAGTCCACTGCTGAACATAGGCCTCACCCAAGGAATGCCACAAAGCACGCTCCTGAGTCATCTGCATCCATCGACTTCCTGCATGTCTTACCAGGTCGTCACTCCATTTAGTGGGGGGTCGCCCTGTACTTCGCCTACCGATACGAGGCTACCACTCAAGTGCCTTTTTTCCCCATTGGTTGTCGGTTCTTCGAGCTATATGGCCGGCCCATTGCCACTTCAGCTTACTAATCCTTTGGGCTATGTCTGTCACTCTGGTTCTGCTGCGGATATCCACATTTCTAAGTTTATTACGCAGAGAAACCCCGAGCATAGCCTTCTCCATCTCTCCAAAGCTTGCCGAGCGACCTTGAGCTTCCTCATACGTCCAGCAGTGAAAGACCACGTCTCAGTTCCATAAGACATAACTGGCAACACGCACTGGTTGTACAGTCTCATTTTCAAGTTTTGAGGTATACCTGACGAGAAGATGTGTCGTAATTTCTCGAACGCTGCCCAGCCGAGTTGAATCCGTCGATTGACCTCTCGGTCGAAGTTGGACCTACCTAGTCGGACTATTTTGTCCCAGGTAAACATACTCTTTAACATCTTTGAGCTTAGTGCCCAATAACAACCGCCAGCATAGGTATGACATGGACGTTAAACATGATCTTTGTTTCGTCCATGTTCATCTTAACACCTATCCGTTGGGAAGCACTATTGAGGTCATTGAGCATAGTGCTTAGGTCCTCCAGCGATTCTGCCATAAGGACTATATCGTCGGCAAATCGAAGCTGAGTGATGTACTCGCCATTGATGTTAATACTGTATCCTTTCCAGTCCGGTAGCTTGAAAAAGTTTTCCAATACAGCGGTGAAGAGTTAGGGAATATAACGTCACCCTGTCTTACACCTGTCTGCAGTTGGATAGGTTTCGTACTCTGGTTCTGTATTCGGATAGCCATCGTAGCCCTACTGTACAAACATTTCAGCACCGATACCGACAGTCAACTTGGCACCGCTGAAGGGACTGCAGCACCGCCCAAATTTCGACGGAATCAAAGGCTTTCTCATAGTCCAAATACGCAAGGCATAATGGCAAATTGTATTCCTCGGACTTCTGTACAATTGCCGAAGGGTATGTATGTGGTCTATGGTGCTAAAGCCTTTTCGGAAACCGGCTTGTTCGGGAGGCTGGAAGTCGTCGTGTCTGCGTGCGAGACGATTCGTAATGACTCTCGAAAACAGAACGTAGACGCGGCTCAGAAGGGAAATAGGTCTGTAGTTCTTCAAGAGAGCATTGTCGCCTTTCTTGAAGAACAAGACCACCGCACTTCTGCTCCAGGCTTCCGGAGTAGTGCCACCATGAAGGACGGAATTAAAGAGATTTTGAAGGACTTCAAGTACCGGTTTTCCACCCGCTTTCAGAAGTTCCAATGTAATTCCATCCTCGCCCGGGGACTTGCCGTTTTTAAGATGCTGGAGAGTCATTCTAATCTCGCTCAAACTGACGTCCGGGATATCATCGTATTAATAGTGTTGAATAAGACTTGCTCTTGGATCGTTACCTCACACTTGCGTGTTGCTCCAACGATGATGTGTGCAGCTGCCTATAGAACCTCTCAATCTCACTCAAAATCTCAGGTGTCTCGAAAGCGACGCTGCCACACTCTGTCTTCAGTTTCGACAGTTGGCTTTTTCTGGCAAACAGATCTCTGGTAAAGACTTTGGAGCCCAGGTACCGCCTGGTCGCTTCTTCAATACGAGCATTTTTAAAGTTGCGTAAGACCTGACTCATGAATTTGGAGATCTGTCTGTTCTGTTGCCTGTATGCTGTCAAATCAACTGAAGACTTCAGCTTCATTTCCCGTCTAACAGCCATGAGATTAAGAGTATGATCGGAGAGTTTTTGTGTTCTTCTGCGGTGGGTCTTGCAGGACTTAGCTCCGACCGTATGGACAGTTTCCATGAGCTTGTGATTGACATTGTCCACTGCATTGCAATTTTTTAGGCATTGAAAACGGTTTTGTAACTCGAGCTGAAAGGTTGAGCGTTGACTTCATTAAACGACACCTCAACAACTTAAAGTTTAGGTTCAGTGTGCCTCTAACCATTCGGTGATCGCTACTGGTTTTCACCCTCGCGATCACTGAGAAATCACTGAACAGTTGCTGTTTAGTCGTCAGAATGAAGTCAATCTCATTTTTTCGATTTTAGTCGAACAGTTGGGGCTCTACCAGGTCCACTTCCTGTGGGGCCGCTTCTGGAAGAAAGAGTTCATCATAAATAGTCGCTCTTTCTCCATGAAGTCGGCCAGCTGCCGGCCCCTTGGGTTCCGTTGCCCTATTCCAAATTTCCCTACTTTCAGCTCACCGTTCTCTCTTGTGCATAGTTTTGCATTGAAGTCTCCCATTAACACCGTATAGTGGCTGTTGGAGGAATGCATGGCTCTAGAGATATCCTCATACATTTCCTCCACCTCCTCATCGGGATGTGCCGAGGTTGTTGCGTAAACCTGTATGACCTTCAGCGAATACCGTTTGGTGATTCTGAGTATAAGGTACGCAACCCTCGTCGACACACTCTCAATGTTTACAACGTTGTTAACGAGAGACTTGTGGACGATAAATCCGACACCTCCTTGATGACCTTGATTTCCTCCACAGACGGTCGCACTCCCGGTGATAGAGCAAGTTGCCGGATTCGAGGATTACCGTGTCCTCCCCCTCTCTTCGGACCTCGGATAATCCTATAATATGTCTATCTCTGCTTCCAGCTCCATGATCTTCTCGTCAGTCCTCAGGGTGCATGCGTTGTATGTTGTCAGGTCGAGTCGTCTTAGGTGGCAACCGAACCTCCACCGTAGATTCTTAGCACCTCCTGTCTCGCCATTACCATGGTTGCCACCGTAACCAGGAATAGCGGGGCCGCCGGGGACTGGGGGCCGTCTTTTTGTAACTTTTGTCACGGGGGGTATATTGCCATAATAGCCACGCTTGGCGAGCGAGTTGCCAACCGCAGTTTGTTTATTGTAATTTTTTGTTATCAGAAAGATGCTGCTGCCCATCTTCTGTCTCAGTTTCCCTCTGTCGCCTCTTACGACATCCATGGGAAGATATGGGGTAGTGGTTATTCTTACCCGCCACTAACGGGGGTTTTTACTATATTATTATTAACACGCTTTCGTGTATGTTTGTTCGGGTCAAATTCAGTAATTGATTTTAAACTAACTTCTCGATGAGGTAGACACTTGAAATTTTGAACATAGCTCATAATCGGATGACAATGCAAGCATATGAAAAAAACATGGTAAAAAAAACCACGAGATTTCTGAAAAAAAAATTAATATTTTATCAATAGAGTACACTTTCGAATCGATTACAGGTCAATATTCGTCCACGGGTTCGTAGTTGATGAAAAGAAACGGAAGATGTCAAAATCCATCGGCAACGTGATCGACCCGTACACAATCATTAATGGTGATAAGAGGCAACAGGGATACGGCGTAGATACTTTGAGGTGGGTTAAATATAACAAAATAATGATTTGAAAGGCAAAGGTAAAATATTCAGAGGCGCAGATACATAATGTAAACTAAATTCATAATTTGAACGTGGTAGAGCCATGCTGCAGCTATATCATGGCTCACATGTCAAGTACATGCGAGTTAATTTTGTATTTTTTCCTCCTATATCTTTTATTTATTTATTTATTATATATACCAATATTATCAGGGCGTATGTTTTACCGAGTAGCCTTATAAGGATACGGAATGCGAAGTTAATAACGAGTCGTGGGTTTGAATCCGCCATTTGACTACTGTGGTGTTCACCACACTCACACTCCTAGCACAAGTATTTAAGCTAATTTAGAATGGTTAACAGGAGTTTTTATTTTTATAGAATTTAATTTTTTATATAATAAGGGTAGCAAACGAGTGTGCAGCATTGGTATGGGGATGCTGTGACCCATAGACATTACATCTATCTTCGATTAAGAGAAATAATTCCGATCCGTTGTCAACTCTGAGCACCAAGATGGAATGCCTTGTTTTCAGCAAAAATTAAAGAAAAGAAAAGAAAGGAAGAAAGACATTTATTCACTGAAACTATACACATCACATAAATAAAAAAAGACAGTTAAATGTATTGTAGATTAAAATTACTGATGTGGTGTGTATCGATACGTATATTTTACGTGGTAGAGCCATGCTGCAGCTATATTATTAGTATGGTTCTGGCACGAATGGGTCGGCTCGACCGGGGAAGGACCACGCTCTCACAGAATACCAGCGTAAAATAGTAGCTTAATGCTGCTGTGTTTCGTATGGTGAGTGTAGAGAACCGGAGACCCATTTTACTGGATAATAGGCATTCTATCTTAGTCCTCACGGCTGACAACGCATCTGCATTTTAATTCGCAAACAAATACAGATGTAGATATCTATGGGCCACAGCAACCACTTACTATCAAGTGGACTGTGTGCTCGTTTGTCGCACTTATTCTATAAAAAAGTCGAGCTAGTGAAAAGGTTATGACTCAGCGTAATGCTACAGGGTGACCTAAAGCGCTGATGATTCTCTCATAACCACAGATAAGCGCACGATCCACCTGGCTGTGTTAATGAAATATATTTTATAATTACTTTTATAAATTGAAATATTTCGGTGCTTCATAAAAACACCTTTATACGCACATCCTCAGACACCCTAAATAGTATATTATGTTATAATCATAATAAATACACTGACTTCTTAGTTAAACATGTATATGCATTGATTATTTATTAAATTAGTTATTCTAATTCCGGAAGAATGTTGTGGTCACAGTACAAATCCACGAACGCTAGGTATAGGTCATATGAGGGTCTTGCTAGCCTAGTAGGTATTCGCTCGCGTTCGAGTCGAGTTAACGCCGCCGCCGCTTGACACAACTGTAGGTAGGTATTAGTGCCGAAAAAAGTGTAGTGTAGTAGTGTCGACAATACACGATTGATTACGTTAAAGAAATACCTACTTATGAACATTAACAGATGTCAGAACTCCGAGCATCGAGTTGTTTATTTAAGTCTAGTAAACATTTGATTGCATCTTTCCATCACACTTTTCAGGCTTTGGACTTTCGACCGTGAATGATTTTGTTTCTTGATCATGATACAATGTCAATAGGCAATATTCCTTACAAAATGTTTTGAATTTGCATAACTTTTTTATTGTAATTGTAAATAATAATGAACTGCTAAAAATAAGAGGCGATACGACAACATAATTCAAAGACGGCGTTTTAAAAGATGTGAATCAAGATTACAATAATTTTAAGAATCAAACAAATATTTAATTTACTGGTAGCCTAAACTCTCACGCAACGTTTATTTCAATTTTAATACACTTTCAAAATGTCCACCACCTTGTTTGTGGACATTTTGAACATTTTAATGACTGTTTTCTTAATTGATATTTTAATTTAGAAAGCAATTCAGTTATTTTTTCACTATTCTAAAAGCGTTCACTATCCCATTTTTAGGTCATCGGCACTTGTTGTCTCACTAAAATAAACTAATGATTTAATACGTCCCCACAATAATAAGAGGCGTCAAATCAGCTGATCTAGGAGGTCAATGCACAGGGCCGCCGCGACCGATCCAAGACACTCCAAACTGTATTTGTAAATACTGTAACGTGCTTGAAATAAGGTTCAATTTTCTTTATTTTGTATTGAATGACGGAATTTGTATTAATACAAATAAAAACACTTTTATAAGTCTTATTGCCTTGAGTTACGGTCCATTTCAGTTTGTTTTCACTGTACAGGTTTAGTGTGACTGTAATTTACGTAGTTTTAATTATTTTTAGTATTAAAAATTAACTTTCAGGATGTGCGTTAATTATGTTACGTGCTGTATATATATACACACACATACATTTAGAGATATACACACATACATACAAGACTACACATAAATTCTATATAAAAATAAAAAAGTCATAAAATATATTATAAAAAAATGGTTTCCGGTTCTTTTGTGATATTTTACTTTAGTTAATCGAATCTGTAGATTTTATTATCGAAATAGTATTAGGTCAGTTGGTAATTTGAAATCTGTAGGTACCTACGAGTATTATTTTGAATTAGTATTTGTTATTTAGATATTTGTTTTGTTTGGGCAGGTGGTGGGTGGCCAGTCACGCAACACAACATTCCCAAATTGTGATCAGTAAGAAGCTTCTAGAAGACTGTCAGAGCGAAGTTATAAGGATACGTAATATATTAAAATACCTCCTCGGAGTAGTTGGTGATGTGGACAAAGGAAAATTTGACGCACAGCCAGAGCTAAATTATTTTGATCAGTATATGGTTCAAGAGTCACATAATTTCCTGCAACAAATAACCGATCATTATAATAATTTCAGATATAATCATGTCGCACAATCTCTATTATTTTTCATCAGTAATAAAGTGTCAGGTCTCTATTGCCATTGTATCAAGGACAGGCTCTACTGCTCGCCCAAAGACTCTAATGAAAGACTGTCCGCACAGTTAACAATTCATAAAATTTTAGTCACTCTATTTCAGACTTTAGGACCAATTTTGCCACATTTAATAGAAGAGGCATGGCAATATCATCCGTTGTATGAGAAACCATTTTATTTTACCAAAGAAATACCAGTATTGCCATATAAACATATCGATACGTCATTAATGGTAGCCATTTTGGAAATTAAAAGAGATGTATGTTTGCTTACAAAAAATGAGAATTTAAAAAAGTTTGATCTGAACTTGAAATTAGAAACGGAATTGTATTCTAAATTAAGGGAATTGAATGCAAGCGACGGTGTTGCTGATAATGTTTTATGCGAGATTCTAGAACTCTCATCTGTCAATTTAGAGGAGATAAGAAATGGCGGGAAACGTTGGGAATTAGAAGTATCACAGAGTAACAGAAATCAGTGTCTACGGTGTAGAAAATATAATGTCACAGATAATAGCGACAAATGTTTCAGGTGTGAACAAGTGCTTTCGATGTTATAAAGTGTATGCAAATAAAGTAAAATAAGTGTTAATATTTCAAATTTTCATTTGGCACAAGTTTCGAAATAAATTGACTAATCTGTGAACGGCTTCAGTACGAGATGTAGATTGAAGTAGATTGAATATTTTAGACTCACATACGTCCTATTGGTGGGCACCGACCTCATCGTTGTGAGGCTCCTTATTCACATTTAATATTATAAATTTTAGTTCCCTAACTATGTATTCCTGAGTCTAGAATTATAGAGCCGTGGTAACTCAGGTGGTTAGCGCTGTAAATTTCACAGTGCGTGAGCAATAGTATTTATATTTATATGGTGGACGTATGGTTGTAGCACGAATGGGTCGGCTCGACCGGGGAAGGACCACGCCCTCACAGAATACCATTGTAAAATAGCAGCTTAATGCTGCTGTGTTTCGTGAGGTGAGTGTAGAGAACCGGAGACCTTTTTTTACTAGAAACGAGGCATTACATCTTAGTCCTCACGGGTGACGACGCATCTGCATTTTGATTCGTAATCGATGTAGATGTCTATGGGCCGCAGCAACCACTTACTATCAGGTGGACTGTGTGCCCGTTTGTTACCCTTATCCTACAAAAAAAGTTTTATTTAAAATCACATCAGTTTATTGTTTAATTGAATATATATTGTTATTTTGTTCAATGTTATAATGAAGTGTATTATTTTGTAAAGTAATAACCGAGTTGGTGTTAGTATAGATATTGTTAAATTTGTAAATAAAGAATTAAAAACTATTTATTAATTGCCTTACTCACGGAATAAATAATAGTACTACGTACTTTAGTGTTTTATTACCTACTTCTTGTAGTGTTAAGTTGCAATCATGAAGCTAATACAAAGGGGAGACGGCATAAGCAACTGTGCACTGTGATTCTAAGTAGGTCCTGACGTCATCATAGTGGGCGTGGCTTTAGATAGTATACTGTCAGCATTCGTCCTGTGCGCTTATGTGTTGACAAAATCGCAAATCGGTGTATTTTCGTAGTATTAAGAAGAAAAGGATGAAGTGTTGTGTTTTATTGTGTAAAAACTACTCAGATAGACGCTCTGATGTTATGGATGGCATCACATTTCATTTGTAAATAATTTTACACCTAATTTATTAAAATAGTTCTAGAAAAATCTCTTTGCGTCGGCTTTCAAATATAATTAAATATATTCCACACTAGATGGCGTCACTTTGTGTCCTGTGAACTAAAAATATAAAGGTCCGTAGAGCTCATTATTGGTAAAATAATCATACGAAGGTGCTGAAATTTGTTTTACATTCAGACATAAAGAAATTTTAATCGCAAAATATTATTTTTATAGTTTATAATCATTTTGAGAACAGGCCGTATTCTCGTCAAGTAAATCTCATAAAAATAACAAAAAGACAGGGCCCTAATTAGAATTCAATTATTTTTCCCAGTAATCCAACTTTTAATATTAAAATGCAGGAAATTGTACTTAGATTGATTTTTACGAAATGTTTAAGTTATATTTAAGTGACATTCTATATGCAAAGAATCACTTAAATACAATTTAATGTTCTTAGATTGGCATTCAAAAAGTGCATTCGGATGCCTAATTTGGAATAAAATATTTATATTTTAATTGATTTGTAAATAAAATTATATTAATTATAATCATTTGTCTATTATTTGTTCTCCCTCAGAGATATTAAGTAGTATAACCTACACATAAATAATAGTCCAGCCGTTTCTTCGTGAAAAAATTACACATACAGAGTACATACTTAGTGTGGAATAAGCTCAAGGAGACAGAAAGAACACACAAAATTTCGCCTTTATAATATTAGTGAGATAAGTAGGATATTTAGTTCCAAATTAAATATCCTACTTAATATTGAACATAGAATATTTAGTTTCAAACAGACTTTATTTTATGGATAAGATAAATATTTCTTGAAGGTTGACTTTCACTAAATGATAAACATATTTAAATTGTATTTAATTGATTCTTTGCATATAGAATGTCACTTAAATATAATTTAAACATTTCGTAAAAATCAGCCAAGGACAATTTCCTTCATTTTAATATTGAATGTTGGGTTACTGGGTAAAATAATTGTATTCTAATTGCGGCCCTGTCTTTTTGTTATTTTTATAAGGTTTACTTGACGATAGAAGGCGGCCTGTTCCCAAAATTATTATGAAAACTACAAAAATATTATTGTGGCGATTAAAATTTCTCTGTCTGAATGTATTTGCTTCATGAGATAGATGCTCCGATGCTATGGATGGCATCACATTTCATTTGTAAGTAATTTTACTTACTTATCTTCACGCACAATCCCTGACGGGGTAGCCAGAGAGAACAGATCGCCAAGTATCACGATCCTTACAAACCTCTTTCGCTTCTTTCAGATTCATTATCTTCTTCATGCATGCACGTCTAGGTATCCGAGTACTCTTGACCCTACCCTCTTCGAGCAATTTGCTCACATGGTCTTCAAAAGTTAGTCTCGGTCTACCTCGACACCTTTTAATATTAACTTTCGCGCTATATATTTTCTTCACCATTCGGTCTTCACTCATTCGCTCAACGTGCCCAAACCACCGAAGCACGCCCTTATCAATTTTTGTGATAAGGTCATCTTTCAAACCTGCCATATTGCGAATCTCTTCGTTTCGCTTTCGGTCGGCCATAGTAACGCCGCACATTTTACGAAGAGGTCGCATCTCCACTGCATTCAACTTACTTTTATGCTTCTTCTGGCATACCCAGGTTTCGCTGCCATATAACAAAGTCGGTACCAACACTGCGTTATGTATTGCAAGGCGTGCACTCTTCGCTACGCCTTGCCTTTTGACTAACGCAGTCAGGGCACCATTGACTTTGTTCCCGGCAGCGACACGCCTGTCCACATCTAAATCACATCTTCCATCCCGGCTAAAAGCACTCCCCAAGTATACAATTTCATTTACCTGTTCTAGACATTCCTGATTTACCCATATTTCACACTTCGTTCTCTCTTCGTCCCTTTCAAATACCAGAACCTTAGTTTTATTAGCATTCAAACGGAGACCTTTAATTTCACATTCCTCTTTCATACACGTGACTAATGCCTGCAGTTCTGCCTCTGATGGTGCAATAAGCATTGCATCATCAGCATACAGCAGACAATTTACTTTTATGTCACCCAATTTCACACCCAAACAGCTATCTTTCAGCTTCTGTAAACAGCTGTCGGGATACAGTATGAACAGCCAGGAAGACATGACACAACCCTGCTTTACGCCCATTTGGACGTTAAACATGGGTGACAGGTCATGCCCTACCCGCACACAGGCTTTACAGTCACAGTAAAGAGACTGCACAGTCCTTAGCAATCGACCATCCACACCATACCCCGGCAACAGTTCCCACATTTTCTTCCTTACAACCTTATCAAATGCTTTCTCAAGATCCACAAAAGCACAGAAAATCTTCTGGTTAGCAGCCAGAAGCTTCTCCGTGATCATGCGGAGAGAAAACATTTGATCCGTGCATCCTCTTCCAGGTCTAAATCCGCATTGTGCCTCCCATAGAAATCTTTCCGATTTCTCTTGCATCCTACGTGTCAAAACCTTCGAGTAAACTTTACTTGCTAAACTGGTCAAGCTGATCGCCCGATAGCACCCGCAGTCAAAATGTGAACCTTTACCTTTATATAAAGGCACAATGACTGCGGATCGCCAATCATCCGGGACATCCCCCGTCCGCCAGCACAAATTGCACAGCAGATGGAAGCTGTACCAGACGCGAGGTCCACCATACTTGACCTTTTCAGCAGTAACTCTGTCTAGTCCCGCAGCCTTACCACATTTCAAACTTCGAATCGCACGTTCAATTTCTTTCATACTGATGACCTCAGTGTCATCGAGGTCCGGGTCTGGCGTACCAGTCACGGCGTCATCCCCGGATCCCTCACTAAGATCATCATACGCATACATTTCTCTATAAAATTCGCTTCATCGCTGCATGACGTCCGATTTTTCTGAGAGGACGTCATTAGTTCTCGAAAGCACTTTTTACACCTAATTTTACACCTAATTTATTAAAATAGTTCTAGAAAATTCTCTTTACGTCCGCTTTCAAATATAATTAAATATATTCCACACTAGATGGCGACACTTTGTGTCCTGTGAACTAAAAATATAAGGGTACGTAGAGCTCGGTAATGATAAAATAATCATACGAAGGTGCTGAAATTTGTTTTGCATTCAGACATAAAGAAATTTTAATCGCCAAAATATTATTTTTATAGTTTATAACATTTTGTGGACATGCCGCCATCTACCGTCAAGGTAGTTAAGCTACATTGCAACATCGATATGGAAAGATTCGAGTAGTTTTACTATTTATCAGTAGATGTAGATAATGTAAAGTGGGCGGGGCTTTGCATCCCCTCACCCCGCAAATTGTCACGCGTTGTTACATAGTGAAATTTAATTACAACATCTCTTTGTATTTGCTTCATGGTTGCAATACAGGCTTAGATTATTAATAAGTCATCGCGCGCTCTGAGAGTTAGAGTAGTACTGCTTAACATAGGCCTCCTCCATGGATTGTTTCAAAGGGGGGATATTTGCTATAGTTGCCCACACCTCAGTTTTTTATTATTATTCTTATTGACTTTTTATCAGTAAGATGCTGCTGCCCATCTACTGTTTCACTTTCTTCATAGGATGATATAGAGCAGTAGATTCTCTATGGCCGCGGCGACGAACTATTTTCAGATCACGTGGTAGAGACACGCTGCAACTATATTATAGTTCTAGCTTCTAGCACAAATGTTCGTTAAATGAAACTAATTTTTACAAATGTTCATGCTACAACTATACCGCTAACAACTACTTATACGTGGTAGAGCCATGCTGCCGCTATATTAGTAGTATAGTTGTAGCACGAATGGCATCGACCGGGGAAGGAACACGATCTCACAGCATACCAGCGTAAAATGGCAGCTTGATACTGCTGTGTTTCGTATGG